TCCAGTGTTTTGGATTTAGTAGGTTGGGGTTGGGCCTGATAACATGTAACTTTTCTAACAAGTTCCCAGGTAATTCTGCTATTCCAGGAACCACACCTTGAGAACAACTGCTTAACCCATTAGACGAAGATTAAATGTAATAATTGTGTAAAGCACAGGGTTCAGTCAGCTAGTCATTTGATTGAAATAAAGTTATATTTAATTTGTTAGCGGTTCAACATTTAGCTCTTTACAAAACCTCACGAACAATTGAATTTTAACAAGTAGTATAGATTAATGGGGATTCCAGATATAATTATACTATTTCCTTTTTGAAACCTACATATTTTCATACTGCAAAAGAGAAAATCCACACTTTAACCTTGGTTTGGTCTTAACCTGGATCAGTCTCTTGTTTTACTACTGTAAGGGAAGAAATCACAGATTTGCCCAAGGTATTAGGAGGAAAAGTGAGCAAAAAAGGATCAACTTAGATTGCCACGAATGAGTCACATTTTGTTTTCCTACTTCCCCCTCCAGGCTTGGTGCACTCCCAGAATCTAAACCCATCAAGGGAGGAATAACCTTTGACCTTTATGGAACACAAAGCAATTGGTCCACTGGCCGAGTATCTGCTCCTTCCCCTTTCCCTGCAGTGCCTCAGTGATGATCAAAGAGAAGGGTGGCAGCCTGACATCAGACTCAGGAAGTGTGGGAGTGAGTTCTATGCGGACCTTAATCATTGGACAAGTATTTTCCTTCCTTCCTCCCTCACTCTCTCCCTCTCGCTCTCCCCTTTCTCTCTTTCTTTCCTATATTTGAACATTAAGTTTCATAGCAATATAGCATATGTTTTGCAATACTGACAACTGACACCTATTTAAAAGGGACTCTGGAACTCAATCCAGCTTACCTGATTCTGAAAAAACTGCCTCCTAGCCCTCCAGAAGTTTCTAATGCATGAGTCCTCTCCATGGCAAGCTGACCACCATGCAGTCTTTTATGAACAGTTCCAATAAACTCTTGCTCCAGAGACCATTGAGTCAAATATGGTTCTGACTTAGAGCGACCTTTGAGGTAGAAGCTCTGATATTTAAATTTAATTCTGCACCACCATTCCGGGGGCTAAATCAGTGTGCAAAAAGGGATCTGTACCCAGTAAAACTACAAGTAAGGCTGGGAAAGACCACATGACTTCCTTTTCCACCTAAGTCCTCCAAAATTGTCTCCAGATCTGTTTGACACTGTATCATTTGACATGACTTAGTCCATAAAACTTTACACATTTCTAATGGGCAACAGTAAGACCGGGAAGTGATTGTGGCATAAAACGGGAGAAAAAAAGTCACCAGACCATCAAATATGGACATTGTTTTCTAGCCAAATGCTCTATTAATGATAAATCAGCAGCCCCACATTAACACCGATGTGATAAAATATCTACTCCATTGATAAGTTTCCATTATAGGCAGAATCTGAAATGGCTCAATTACTCCACAAACCACTTCCAAATTCTGAATAATGTTTCATTTGTGATACATAAATAGAAGGCATTTTAGGAACATTTCAATAAATTTCATTTGGAGATTTTTCTTAAGTAGACCCAATTGGATTGGAAGACTTATAAAAACAGATTGATTTTTCCTGGTGCTGTTTACAGAGAGGCCAGGAAGGAAGCCGCAAGAAGCACTTTGCTGTTGACATTTTGAAGCTCTTATATCCTGTAACTTATTTTACATGATCAGATGATGGAGAGTATTAAGAGAAGAATGTTGAGGAAATAAAACTAGAGAAACAGGATGTATTTGTATAAAGAACCTGGGAGGGAGAGAAAGAATTCTTCTTTTCATTGCACCATTCATCGCCCCGCCCCCTTTTTCTTCCTGCTTATGAACCAAGTCAATGAACAGCTCTTTACAACACATGGAAGCTTAGAATTACATTGGTTTAAAGTGTGAGAGATTCAGTAACCTGGCCTAACAGCCAGCCAGTATCTTTTTCAACTTGAGAACAAGCAACCTGGTAGATCTCTTAAGTTCTCAACTAACTAACCGAAAAAGGTCTTCCCTTGGCTATTCAGGCCTCTCCACAGAAAGAAAGAAATGCAGTCCAACAGTGACAGTGGAGGTAGTGGAAAAACACATCCAAATGGCTATTATAACCTAATTCGAGGAGAGTTTTACTGTATCCTGTAATGATATTTAAAGATGTGTTTTGGCTTATGGTGGAATCCAATGTATGTAATGAATCACAGAAGAATAGAATTTTATTATTCTTGGAATTGGGTTGAAGCATCTGTCCTATCCTCCACCCCCTTCATTTTGAGACATGCCCAGATCCTCTCTACACTCCCCAATATTACCTTAAAGCACCCTTCCACAGCAGCCATGTGTGATGAGTATTCGGTACACCTCCCATAGCACGGCATCTGGGTTTTGGGATAACTTTCTAGACACAGTACTGGACCTTCCTCATGAAGCAATAGCAACCTTGCAAGAGTTTTTCCAGAGAAAAAGAAATATGAATTGGATCTCACAATCACCCAGACACAAGCGTGAACAGACCTGTTGTCAAACCAAATCAACATTTCTACTTCTGTTCTGACAACTATAAATTCAGAAGTCATCACCACATAAAGTGCCTCGTGTACAAATACTTGAACTCTGACTTCCTTTCAACAGCCTTAATGGTACTGCTTACCATATCAGTTTAATGCACCCTGCTGTTGTAATGTCATAAGTGACAATTTCCACTACAATCGTAGCCTTAGTTGCCAAGCCTACCTCCACAACACCTCTGTCACATAACATGTGGCCCTGATGGGTGCACCAGGAACCTCCCCTCAAAGCCCTCAGCTCCCTTAGGCCTTCCTCCTCTATTAGAATAAGGGGGCCTGCAACCCACCCCTGGAAAGTATAAACACGAAAATAATTAACCATCTCTTCTGTTCAGCTGTAACTTATATTTCCTGTGAGGGCAAATGGAGGGGGGAAATAATAAAAACAAGGCACAGAGACCCAAGTTCATTTGGAATGCTAGGAGTTCTTGGTGAAGATCATTAAAATGTGGTTTGAAATATTTTTGTTTTCTCATCAAGTCACTAGCCCTGTAATTGATGTCATAAAAAATATCTCTGTTCAGTTGCAGTGGGTTTCTTGGGTTCCATCAAGTTATCAATTATTTACATCCCAATGAAATGAAAGGGAGCTGTAAAGCAAGGTCCTAAAATGCCACCAAGGAGTCTAGGGTGGCCTTGTCAACCTTGTGCCCACGAAAAGGGCCCGGTGCTCTGTTTGGGAAAGTTCATTTCCCCTTCTCTATGTGGGTTTGTTGCTCCTCCTCATAGTCTCATTGGGCTTTTTGTTTGTTCATATCCTCCACAATTTGAACTCTTAAGGATGAGAGGAAAAACACCAATGCCTCCAGCTAACACAGCCTCTTCCTCTCTGGGTCTCTGGGCCTTTAACTGTTTCCTCCCTCATTCCCGTAGCAACCAGGGCATTTGTTCACTTACCAAAGTTCACAAGTCCAGATTTGACAGAACATCTTGTTTGCGAATGGTAGGATTTCATTGGTATGAGGAATCGTCTTTTCCTTCTATTATTTCCTCCTGCTTTAAATTTCCCTGCCCAGACCTTCTTTCCCCTTCATGTAGCAGAGTAACTCTAGCAGGACCAGGCTTCATACTATTATTACTTGTTTTCGGGGAAAACAGCAGAAAAAACTTGGTGGTCAGTTTTAAGAGCTGAACTTGGCCATTGTTCCTTTAGTGATATATCGAGATGTCTTGGTTAACACACAACCTTCACATATCTGGTAAAGAACTCTATGGGTATTGCTGGTAAAATCTGATATGCATCTCTTGCCAACTCGTTATTTCCAGGCTTCTTTGGGTTGGACTTTTATAGGCCGTATTGTAACAACTAGAGACAGTTGATGGAATCAGAGTTACTTCTAAACTCTAGAGTGCAATAAGCTTTAGCATTTCCATCATTCAGAGTGCAGATTCGCTTGTACACAAATCTGTTCCTAATCAGCCCATTTCTCTGATCTACAGAGCATACATTAGTTTGTTATAAATGAGGTGGCAGGTGAATGCCTGAACCTTTTGGAGAGCTGCAGCAGAGCTCTTTCCAGGACTGAGGAGGGCATACATATTACTGTTTCCCATCCAGTCAAAAGGAAGGTTTTGAGGACAGAGGGGGACATGCTTGTTAGACAGGACTGCAGCCACAATTCTTTCCTAATGCCGGACTTGCGTGTTCTATATTTACTGTTCCCTAGATATTTAAACATTTCAATTGGCATGGGGGTGTGGGGAAATTCTGCCAAATCCGGATCCTGAAAACCTCAGCAACTTGATTAACTTTGGAGCTTTGCAGTCATGTTTGCCAACAGGCATTATGCCATCCAGAATTTCACAACACACTGTAGTAATATAGATAACTAATATTCCTCTCCTCACTTCTTGAAAGAAAAAAAAAAGAATATTGTTCAGAACAGAAGGGAATGTGCTCATTTAATGCAGCTATAAGGAAGGAAAGAGGGACATTTTTGTGAAGTGATTAAAAGCAGCTTATACAATTAGTTGCCTGGGAGGAAGGGCCCAGCGGTTGTTGGGACTTCCGCTCAGTGGTCCAGTTTCCCGTGGGAAGGAGGGGCGGCCTGGCTGAGAGCTCTGCGTTTCCTGTCCAGAGGAAGCAGAAGGGATCCAGAAAAATAGGGAGAGAGGGACGGGGTAGGTAGAGGAAAGAAGCCCTCTCCAGCTTCCCCTTGATCCCAAACCAGGGGCCATACTTGACCGTTCTTTTAATAGAATGTGGTCCTGTCAAGGACAAATCAAGTGCAGCTTAAAAAAGCCTCTGCACATGATTTCAAAGATGAAAAAGAATAGGGGTTGCTCATATGGAGAAACCACTCCAAATGTTCTGAAATGTGGGAAGAGAGGACATGCATTTATAAGGAAGAAAATGGGTGCAGGTAGACCAAGTTAACTTGTTTTATTCTTAGCTCTACGGGATCTTTATTTTCTATTACAGGTCGTGATGAATGCTCTCATTTATGTCAAGCTTAATGTTTTTCAAAGAGTGTTCACACACATTGTGTCTGTTGTTCCTCAGGTTGGTGACCTGGCTGGTGTCCTGCTTCCCAGTGTAAGGCTCGAAGGGATAACTGAGTTGCCTGGTGTCAGGCAGTGCCAACTCAGAAAGAGAGCTCAGTCCCTTGGCTCCTGGTTATGGCTGCTCCAGAGCACAGCCTCGGTCTTCACAGCCTCCGCCATCCTCCCCGGCTCAGCAGGACTCAGTGCTGGTCCCTGTTCTCAGTGGCAACTTGGTAAACACTGATTGATGAATTAATTGGAACAGAGATAATGACTGCTCTCAAGTACCTACAACTAAAGTTGTTGTTTTCCTCGGGGATCTGCCCAGCCCAGATGTACCTAGGGTTGGCATTAGAAAAATAATGAACAATATCAGTGGATATTAGTGATTGAGGAAGCAGACTCTGCTCTTGCTCTAGACGCCACACTGAGATTCACACAATTAGAAGTTTATAGTCAACGGTGGGATGATACAATCCATTAATCTTTCTAACAGTTACACGGTTCCATTTGGACCAGGCTCAGCTCTTATAAAATGCAGACTCATTACACCGACTCAGACGGGAGCTGGCTGAACACATTCAAGGACAGTGCTACCACGCAAGCATATTTGAAAAACTATTTTGGTTTCTTACCATGAAATGGAAGTTAGGCAAATTCGCCAGAGAGTCAGTCCTTGTCCTTTGCTTGCCTTGTGCTTTGCTCCTCTGTCCTGCTTGCCTTGTCCACTCAGGCTGAGGATTCAAATACAAAGAGCAGGAGAGCATCTGTAATCATCTGCTCAGAAAATGTGGCTGAGGGATTTCACCAACGTGGATTTGAGATGGGCAGGTCCTGTTTGGGATGTAGTGGATAGGCAGTCAGTGTAAATGTGGTTACTCTGAGGATCAATTGGGTAATTTAGCCCCTCAAGTACTCTTTGGAGTTTGAAATATCCAGATGGACATATTAAAGAAAAGAGAATACGGTTTTTAAATCTTTAGACTTAGAATAATGAGGAGAACCCTATTCCACCTACATCTATTCTATTACAAAGAAGTACTTCTTGGTATTAAGGTCCTTTGAATATAATTTCATTCCTTATACCCAATTTTTTCAATGGAGAAGGTAATTCTGAGAAAGGTAAAATAACTGCCCCCAAAGTCACACAGCTGTGAAGTGAGCAGGTGAGAGTAATAATGGAACCCAGGGACTTATTCTTACTAAAGGCCATACTTTGACATTGACCTTGGACTGCTAGGAGATGTCATGCTATAAGCTATTATTAATCATTTCTACCTGGAGATTCAGGGAGAGAAGGGGAGTGAAGAGAGCAAAATGGGGAAGTTAGGAGATGGAAAGGACACACTTCACCTACTTTGCCGTTGGCCTAGTAATATTTGCTACTGGCCAGTCTCTATGATACTGTCCTGTAGTGGTTTCAATGGCTGTGGAGTTCTGATGCTGTGGTACTGGACTGTTCATTTAAAACCACTTTTAGGATCTTTTATATTCTCTTCTTGTGTTTCCATAAACCATAACCACTGTGATCAATATTTCCTATCAATATATTCTGATCATTGAGCACTGAGCCTGGTCTAGAAAGATTGTCCCTGGAATCCCTAACAGTGATGAACTCAATTCTTCATAATCTGCATGCAGATTGTCCGAGGCCAATTTTTATTGCCAGGTTGGTTTCTCCCCACCACACAAACCCTTCTGAGCCAGCAACTCTAATACTCTGTCACTGGGTGCTGAGGGAGGGCACATTAATTTTAATATTGGCTTTAGTCAAACCTCATTAGGAAGGTCAATATACCCCATTAAATAATATGTTTAAAACACTAAGTAAATAACCCTTAGATAATCCATAGTTTTGGATCATCAAGGCAGCTTTTTTTCTTCCAGTATCACAGCTAATTTAAGACTGCAGGGAAGGAGTTTTAAACACATTACTTTTGGCTTCAGCCCAACCTTGTTGCAATGTGATATTTAGAGCTCATGAATCAAGAGACAAGCATGTATGGCCAGGTGTGGTTTGACATAAAATTGTCTGTGAGACAATTGGTCTCTCTGTATGATAAATGGTCAAAAAACTCATTCACTTCTAACGTCTGTGCTTTAAAAGGTAAGGTAAATATACAGAAGGCTTCCTTTTCTTGGCATTTATCTTCTCAAGTGTGGAGGTCTGTTTGATTAATGTCTAGTCATTTAAGGAAAAAGATGTCTTCTTTAAGAAATGATTAGATCATGCTTCTGGGGATTTTTTTTATGTCCAATTACTTAAACTTAAAAAAAAACTTAAAAAAAATTTGTGTATGTTATGTCTACTCCGAGAGACCCTCTTACTCCTGAGGAACTTAATGGATGGATGGCGCTGTTTCCTGATGTGGATTCTTCTTTAGCTGGAGTCTCCCTCCATCTGCTGGCAGTGATGGCTTTGAACTCTGACAGTGCCTGAGTACTGAGTACTTGTGGGTAAGGGTCTCATTTGTTGGGCACCCACATACCAACGTATTGTTCCTTCATATTTTCATTTTGAAAATTTGAAAGAAAAATATTTGCTCTGATTTAGAAATCACATTCTACATTGTTAGCTATCTATAACATCAAGTCTGTTGCTTTCCATTATATTATTATCTAGTCTGGGCTTTGATTTTTGGTGTGTGTGTTGTTGTTGTTTTCCCCTAGTGAACTAACAGTTTCAAACATTATATAAATAGCCCAGTTCCATTTGCTAGTTCCCACCGTTCTTTAAAATCAAGATACCAGATAAAATAACGTTTGATGGCTAGAGTCTATTATCAGCTTATGACACAAGCCTGGTCTTTGAAAAGGCATAAATCAGATAACACGGTTCCAGTGATGCTGCACTCTTTTGATTTTTTAAAGCCTTCTGTCAAGGCTGCCTTTACCTGCATCTTTTGATAATAAGAGAATTAGATCATTGGCGTCATCACAAGATACATCTGGCAGCCGCTTTTCTTCATCATTATCATTACCAGGGGGTTGTGGTGTTGGATTTCTCTCAGTTCCATTTATTTTATGTCGTCTGCATGTTTCTGGATTCTCACAGCCTCTCTGTGTGCGTGCATGTGGGTGCATGTGCGTGGTGTAAGGAGACAGAGAGATGGACTGAGAGACAGAGAGAACTTGAAAAAAGTTGGCAAAGAGAACGGGCAGCAATGTGCTGAGGCTTCCTACCTGCTCTAGTCCTAACTGGATTATGTGTCTAGTAAGCAGCCGACCACGTCCAAGCAGCCACTTCTGCCCTGTCAGTTCTTAGCAGAGCACACTGCATCCGTTGGCACTCTTCCTGGTTTTTCTATCCCCTCTCTGCCCATATAACCACCCTCTTTAAGAATCAGAGGCTCTGTGCAACATAGAAATATCTCACATTTCTCTCTCTCTCTTTTTAAAATCCTCACCTGAAGATATTTTTTCAATTGATTTTTAGAGGGAGTGAAAGGGAAGGAGGAGGGGAAGAGAGAGAGAGAAAGAGAAAAATTGATGTACAGACTGACTGGTTGCCTCCTGCACACACTCTGGGGCCAGGGCTTGAAACAGCAACCAAGGTACATGCCCTTGATCAGGAATCAAACACACAACCCTTGGGTCTGCAGGCTGATGCTCTAACCTCTGAGAAAAACCAGCCAGGGCTCTCTATCTTTCAAGCATCACATTTTAGACTTAGCTGCACAAGAAGAAACACATTCTCTTTGTTTCCATATAAAGCTATCAGTCACTCTTCATCATGTCAAAGGTTCTGCTTTTGTTCAGCAAAGATGAGCAGCAGATCCTGTCCTCACAGAGTCAACAGTTTAGTCATTTTCTCGGTTTAAATGGAAGTCAGCCTAAGAGGGAAGTGACTGGTCAAAGAACATTGGGTGGTCAATGAGAAGGATGTGAACTGGACTCAGGAAAGGATTGTTGCAAGGGTCCAGGTGGTAGGGTGCAGAGAGTAGGAACTACTTGATGTTCTAGTAGAAGTGAGTATATGGGTGCCAACCATTTGTCCCATTCATGCATCACTCCCCTCAGGATGCAGCGTGAGCATCTTTATGGCTTTTCTGGGTCATTTGTCACCTTGGTCAGGAGATTGCAGGACTCCTTGACTCATGGCCCCACCAGAATGTGCACAGTGCAGGAGGGCTGTGTATGTAATTTCCTTTAGAAATGGCAGGGGACTGCCATCAAAAGAAAGAGGCTGCCTAAAAGATCTCCTTGTCATTTCCTACTGTGCTTGGGCCTAGATTTAATAGGACTAGTTGGTTATTTTTTTCACACAGGTAGTAGATAAATGCTGAAGAAGATGCCAGGAGGAAATAGAATCTTGAAGGAAAGCAAAGGCACAGATTCTCTCAATTCTTGGTGACTTCTTGATGTGACATGTCACATTAATTTAACTCCATTAAGTGTTGCTCACCTACTTTATAACTTTAGGCTTGATCCCTGTATAGAAAACATTGTTTCAATTTTTAGAAATTTGCCTGCTGCATTTGCTAGACCTGAAATCGATAGCTGTAGTGTGTTATCAGGGGGAGTGCAGCGGTGGGGGAATTGGGTGCTGCCGCAAAATAGGTGGGTAGCGTGGGGCAACTCAATTTTTCTGAGACTCAGTTTTTCTCATTTGTAAAATTAGCATAACAATGTCTATTTCTGGACTGATGTGAAGCTGAGAGGATTATAAATGGGAATATAAGTGAAATCCCTTACATGTAGTAGATGCTCAGCAAATTGTAGATATGATTGTTGTGTTGTTATAGAAACCTCCTTGCTTTTCTTCCAGCATATCTCAATTATTATGGCCTTAAGCTCTTGTCAACTCCTGAACCTCCTCCATTCAGACAAAAGCAGCCTAAACAATGAGATAATTCATCATCTCAATAATAACTTGAAATAAATAAAAGAAGCTGGGAGTAGGACGACCGCAAATTAATAAATTCAGCAATTGATTGATGTCATCAAGGCCCCAGGCTCTTTCATTCTGCCGTTCTCAGCAGGTTGGCTTTGTTCCGAGGTGTGTCCTTTCCTAGTTACAGCATTGCTGTTCCAGCACCAGCTATCACGTCCTCACACAGCAGTGTATTTCTTTTTGTCAAAAAATAAGATTTTTCCAGAATCCCTGGGCCTGAGGAGACTTTTTCCCTCCAGTTCCATTTGGGAGCTGCCCCACAACTCTGAGATCTCCCCTTAGGACCGCAAAGTGATGTGGCTGTCCAAGACCTTACATCTTCCCTCTCTTCGGGGAAAATTGCGAGTGTGTCTGGTGGTAGCACCTGCTTCCGGATGCACTGTCTCTTTCTCTCTCTTAACCTTAACAAGATCACATGCCTAGACCCGCACCAGTCTATGCACAGAGAATACAAGTTAATTGGTGTCTACCTCTGAAATTAGGGTTAGACAAACCACATGTCTAAGAATGGAGAAATCTCCTTTCTTGCAATAGGACACTATTTGGTGGGAGATGGGGATGTTAGTGACTATTCTGGGGAGGCAGCAAATAAATGTCTACTCCACCCCTCCCCCCGTAGCAATCCCTGAACGTAGAGAGCTTAGTAATTAAAGCTCAGTGTACTGCTCTCATTAACTGCCATAGTACATTTAAATGAAATCAACTACATGTATTCTGTGCCAACTTATGCCATGCCATGTGCCTGTTGAGGGGGGGCAATGAAAAAGAAAGGCAAACCCTGTCCTTAAAGCTCAGGCTAATATTATCTCATATAACTAAATGGTCTCTTGGTATTTTTCTTTCCACATGTTATCCCCTGACCTATACTGTATGCATCATGAGGGCAAGAGCCTTGTCTGATTCAGGACATATTTGCCCAGATCCTTCCCTCTACCCCCACAGCACCTGAACCACACACACAGGGGTCACACAGAAGATGGGTGGACTGTTTGATTGGTGGCATTGAATGACTCCCAACACAGAACACTGCCTGTCCTCTAGTTCTCCTTCCTTTTTTGGTTGGTTTTTGTATTGTGGTAGAGATTGCCAGTGGTCACCAATCTTTAGTTCCTCTTTCCTTCCTGAGCTCATAACTGAATTATTCTTCCTGTCACCCTGGTGTCCAAGTGAAACCACGAGAATGAGTTCTGGTGGGTGGAATGTGGGCAGAAGCTACACTGGCTGCCACCACAGCTAGCCATAAAGCCTTCTGTGAACCCTTCCAAGTTCTCCCCTTGCTGGACATGAGATCCTTTGACATCCTAGAACAGTGATGGCGAACCTATGACACACGTGTCAGAGGTGACACGCGAACTCATTTTTTTGGTTGATTTTTCTTTGTTAAATGGCATTTAAATATATAAAATAAATATCAAAAATATAAATCTTTGTTTTAATATGGTTTCAAATATAAAAAAATTTCTACATGTGACATGGCACCAGAGTTAAGTTAGGGTTTTTCAAAATGCTGACACACCGAGCTCCAAAGGTTCGCCATCACTGTCCTAGAAGACAGAAGATCCTCCTGGTGGAAGGGCCCCAGACACTTGTATCACTGCTTAGAAGAAGTGTCCACAGAAAAGCTGCCTGGTCAGGGACACTCACACGACTCTGTGTGAATAAGCACCTGAGATTTGTTACACTATGAGCTTCATACCCTGACATTTCTTTTTAAGAGAGCAAGTCTGGTTCTAGTAGTTTTCAAAAGCATCTTTTGATTTATAAGAAAAACTCTTAAAAAACTATGTGAGAAAAGAAAAACTCTAAGAAGTTGCTGTCTTTGAAAAGAAAATACACATGAGCAATGAGCAAAGCACTGATAACATCTTCAGGTATATCATCCAACATTCTGCAGGATGGTCAAAGAGAATATACTCTTCCAGTAATGGTTGGGACATTTGCATTACCCTCAATTTGGGGGAGAAATCATTATAAATGGTTCTGTTTGCACATTAGTGAAATCCCTTGATCCCACTGTGTGCTTGTCATCTAACTGCTCGTTTGCAGGTATTCAACATTTCTAATAAGAGTATTCCCTTACCAGATTTTAAGTCATTACTGTTTTTTTTATAATGGATTCATAATTTCTTAATTGTCCTAATGTTCTTTCTTACCTATTCTTGTTAAAATCCGATTAAAATATGAATAATTTCAGCATCCCAAGCATTCTGGAAACAAAATGAAATCCAGGCTTAGGTTCAAATGAAAGCCAGAAGAGGAAGACAGAATGGACAGTTCTAGATTAACCTCAACTGAATCTGACTAGGCCTAGATGCATCCCCATGCCACTCTGAATGTGGTCATGTTAGAGCCAGTAGTGATCACTTAGTTATCAGCCCTCAGTTATTGATGAGGCAAAGGGCTGCACAGTTCGATAGTGATGAAGGCAGGATTAGTTTGGGCCTAACAGTTTCCATTAAATGAGCTCTGAGAAATTAAACCTGTGTATGACAGTGAGCTGTCACTCTCTCCAGGACTGTCCCCCCTCTCAGGTTTCCTCCTCTGCCGCTAACCTAGAGTCCTAGCACAAGGCATCCAAACACCGTGGCTTACTGTGAGGCTGATGCTCAGGGTACTATGGCATTTAGTGAGAGCAGTACACTGAGCTCAGTAATTCTGCCCAACCAATGAGTCCAAATAAACCTTTTGACAATATACTTGTGAAAGTCTCTTTTTATCAGCATCCCCTCCATTTTCTGTTCCTCAGTTCATGAGCTGTTCTCCCTTAAAGTGTCTCTGGACAAAACAAGATGGAAAGAATTCTATTCCCTGCCATCATTGAGATACTTCCCTCTTCCATGGGGCAACATTCTTCTATCAATTAGGAGAGTCACTCCCATCTAGTATACTTTTGCTTAAGACTTATGAACATCCCTTCCCCTCAGTTCAAGAATATCTAACTCCTGTCTCAGATGATCCGCTAACCAGCTATGTAACATTGAACTAAACTTCTCACCTTTAGGTTCCCATTTGTAAAATTAGGGGTTAATTTAGAATGCCATTATCACTTCTGGTGTGATTAATTAATCACTCATTTCAACAATATTTGAAAGCCACTGTGGAAAGCCCTGGAAATAAAAAATAAATAAATAAGAAAGAAATATTTCCTGCCTCTGAGAAGCTCCCAATCTGGCTTAAAGTCCATGCTTCCTAGATGGGGTGAAGAAAATGGATGGGTAACCAGTTCCACTGGGAAACATTGGATCTAGGAACATCCATTGAATCTGTCTGGATTTTTAAGATTCCTTTGGCACTTTTGTTCTTATAATTATTCTAGATCATGTTCTTGAGACTTGAATTACCTTTTCTTTAAATCCTCATTCAAGGATAGTTTATTGATGAGAGAAAGAGAGAGAGAGAGCGCACGTGCGCGCACGAGAGAGAGAGAGAGAGAGAGAGAGAGGGAGAGAGAGAGAGAGAAACATTAATGTGAGAGGGAAACATCAATTGGTTGCCTTCCATCCACACCCTGATTGGGGACTGAACCCACAAACCTAAGCATATGCCCTAACTAGGAATCAAACCCACAACCTTTATGGTATATGGGATGATGCTCCAACCAACTGAGCCACCCACTCAGGGCAAACATTTTTTTCTTTATCTTTCATCTATTTCGCATTCTCCTTTCCAGTTTTCTTCCCTGTAGACCATCAATATTTAAGAATTAAGTTTTAGCCCTGACTGGTTTGGCTCAGTGGATAGAGCGCCGGCCTGCGGACTGAAGGGTCCCGGGTTCGATTCCAGTCGGGGGCATGTACCTTGGTTGCGGGCACATCCCCAGCACGGGGTGTGCAGGAGGCAGCTGATCGATGTTTCTCTCTCATCGATGTTTCTGTCTCTCTATCCCTCTCCCTTCCTCTTTGTAAAAAAAATCAATAAAATATATTTTTAAAAAAAAGAATTAAGTTTTAGATTCTCTACACAGGTTACCCTTTGATGCCCTTATCCTGGCCTCCAATCCTACCTACACAGAAATTGTTCTTAATTGCACAAGTGTATGTTTATTTACTATACTAAAGTTCCTCTTATATTTTTACTTTACCCAGTAGTTTTCTTAATGTTGTCATAAAATTGTACCCAAATGCCCTAGCCAGTTTTGCTCAGTGGGTAGAGCATTGGCTCTCAGACTGAAGAGTCCCAGATTTGATTCTGGTCAAGGGTGAGTACCGGGTTATAGTCTGGATCTCTGGGCTCCGTGGAGGTACATGAGGGAGGCAACCAATCAATGTGTCTCTCTCACATTGATGTTTCTCTCTCTGTCTCTCCTGCTCCCTTCCACTTTCTCTAAAATATCCTAAGGTGAGGATTAATAAAAACAACAAAAATTTTTGCCCAATTGATCAAAGGAAAGTAGTTCCTTCTCTCTGCTTCTATTCCACTTTAAAATTCTAGATACTTGTCAATCATATCATACAGAGGTCAGAGGAAGCTTGATGGAATGGTAGAGGCAGCCCGGGGAAGCCTACCTATCCAAAGCTTCCTGAAAGCCTGTGTTTGGTCTGCTGATGTGGAACCTCTACAGTCCATCTTGCTCACTCACCTCAGGCTGCTCTGATGCTCTGCAAATCCAAAACATGTCCACCAGCTGGTCTCTATTTCTGTCTTCTCTTTTCTTCATTTGCTGTTGGCAGTGGATAAATCAGAGATTACCTGAGTCAATTTGGACTTCAGTTTCTTAATTATGTCATATCATCTTAGCCTGGAGATGGTTTTCCCGCAATATGACTGTTGTAATCTTTCATAGTAGCCTCTACCTCTGGCTTATTCTGGGTTTTGCACATGGACTCAGCAAGCAAAGAGTCCGGGTTCATCTGGGACCCAGATGGGAGTTCTTCTAGGTCATCTACCAGAACAGACCCAGGCTTTATATTCACTGGCCCAAGATGGTTCATATTCATTATTTTGGAGTGTATTAGTCAGGACTGTCTTGGTTATAAGAAACAGAAAACCTACCTCTAGGCTGACTTAAATTAAAAAAAAAAAAAGAAATAGATGACATAACAATAAAAAAATCTGGGTGCATTTTAGATGTGACTGGATCCTAGAGTTCAAATTAATTCGGCCTCAGTCTCACTCTTACTTACTCTCCCATCTGTTGGCTTCACTCTTGGATGGATCTTATTCTTATGATGGCCCCCAGCAACTTCAGACATATCCTCTGGGTTCACATTCAACCCAGCAAAGAGCTTTTCGCTTGGTTATGATTGGTTCAAATGGAGTCATGTACCTATCCTCAAGCCAATCACTGAGGACAAGGGGAGGGGTGGTAAAAATTGGATTACACATCTACTTTAGAAGTGGCAGTGTCCCCAGTGTCATTGTACCCTGAGGTAAGGGGAGGGTGGTTTCCTCATAGGAAATTAAAGATATGGCTACCAGAAAAAGGGAAAGGAGATTCCAGCAGGACAGAACACCAGAGGCCCACTGTATGGGGTCGTTCCCTGATAACCAGTGTGCTTAACTCATCTCTTTTTATTTTTAAAAATTATAGTTTGAGGTCATAGTCTAATAAATTTCCTCTTGCTGTCATTTCCCGTTGTGTCATTATCTCTGGTTCTAACTCTAAGACTTGATGCAATATAGGGTTCTTCATCTTTCTACTACTTCTGCCTATATTTTAAAAACTCAGAGATGGCATATGTTACTTCCATTCTGTGAATCAATGGGGGGAAACCAGCACTGTGCAAGGTTTCATCTGTTTCTCCCACTGAGCATGTTTATAGCAATGACTTCAGAGTGTTTATTGGTCATGAACACAATATTGCATTGTAAATGAGGCAAAAGGTATATTTGATGCCTTATTTTCATAAATTGTTTTCTTTTTTAAAAATCTTATTTCTTAATTTTAGAGAGAGAAAGGAAGAGAGAGAGAGAGGAGAGAAACATGATTTGTTGCTCCACTTATTTACCAGTACACATTCATCGGTTGATTCTTGAATGTGCCCTGACCAGAGATCAAACTTGCAACCTTGGCTTATTGGGACGATGCTCTAAGGAACTGAGCTATCGGGCCAGGGCTCCTAAATTGGTTTCTAACTTATCAATTAATTTATTTGGGTTCATCAAGAGGCTTTTAACATTTAAGCCCTGTGGTGGGGAGCGGGGGAGGAACTAGCATCCCACATCATAAAATTAGCAAGTTTGTTAAAATATGGAAAGCAAAAAATTCATTCCTGCTTGCAATTGTCTAAATAATCTCCAGATGTGCATGAGCTACTGCCAACTAAATTTGTTTATTTACTTGATTTATAAGATGGGCTCAATGCATAAGAAATCATAGCATACATACAATAACGTATGTGCCTGCATTAATCTGTTGGCTCACAGTATCATGTCTGTTTCTACATTTCAAAATTCCCTTAGAATATCTTGGATACTCAATGTATATTCATCAATAGTGACCCTTTCCTGTGATTTCACATAAGCAACAAGCAAAAAGAGTAACAGAGATGGGGGAAACCCTATAGAAATATTTTCATAATTGTATTATTTTGGATTCTTCTCAAAAAGCCAAATAGAAGTGAATAGAGCTGCCATTGATTTCCTCTTAAGAGACATGATGTGCTCCTAAGACCTTATAATTTGGGAGGATGTGCTCCTAAGACCTTATAATTTGGGAGGATTCTAGATACGGTTTCTAAGTATTACTCACTGGTCTTACTGTTTATTTAATCAAGGATTAACTTTCCAGTTTCAGAGGTGGAACTTAAAACAGGTATTTCTTCCTCTTAATGAGTGAGCCTTTCCCTGGAGTCACAGACTCACAGGCACAATAAAGCACAAGCATGTTTGAACATCACCTGCTTCTCTCCTATGACACAGTGGAGAAAATGGAGAATGCATGTTCCAAGAGATACGTGAGGAGTTTTTCACCATCCAGGCAGGGCATCTTGATGAGTTACTCCAACTGCTTGGGTGACCCCAAGGGAAGTAGGCCTTTCCTTTTACAGTCTAGGATGGAAGAGCACAGAGGCACGAGAGTAGCAGCATAGGCAGTGAGTGCCCTGCTGCCTCCTGCCATCCCAGAGAGAGCCACCAGTTCCTCTTACGGGGCTAGTCTTTAGGGGGCTAGGTTCCCTAGGCACAAAGATCTATCAAATCCTCTTATAAAAACAGGGCTAAAACCTGATCACTTGCATACATTTCAAACAAAGCATGGTGCATTGCCATATTAAATTTAGGTTACATCAGTCTGTTTTATATTTAAGATATATGGGATTGGACTAATTTAGAAGATTATGTAACTAAAGGAAAATTTTCAGTATGAATGGCTTTTGCTTGGCAGTTTCGGGTTCTATAAAGGGAACTTTTGTTTGTTTGTTTGTTTTGTTTTTTTCTTTAACCAAGGTAGTCTCTTAGAAGGGAGGGAACACTGTTATGAATGTTGTCCTCAACCCGAGTCTTTCATTCTATTTGCTCAGCTATCGCATTGAGATGGCCATACTTTCTTCCAGGTGTATTTAACCTCACAGGAATGCTCTGACAACCCATGAAACAACTTCCTAGGTCCCCTGATTTCATTGGCATGTCCCTAAAAAGCATCCAGAAATGAAACAATGTCTGCAAAGATATAAATTATACACATCCTCTCCTTGATTAAATGGACAAGGGCAAAAATTTACAAAATACAGGGGAGCAGACAAAAACAGCATCTTCTAACCTTTGGGGGATGTTTCTAGGCAACCAGCATCACATTATATAGAGATCATTAAATCTGTCCCATTATTATGCCTGGTGTTCCCAAGGGGTTCAGAGTTCTCAAAACATTCCAAACATTTTACTAACAAGCTTCTTTTAGCCTTTTAAATAGGAATTGTGGACATTTTGGAAGCAGGGACATTGCTGGTGTAACTTCACTGAAAATGGAAATCTTACACACTTTAGGCTTAACTAATAAGTTGGCATTGTGATAGAAATGCTGTTCTTCTGTCTCTCACATTCCTGGTCTCCAAATGTGTGTGTAATGCAATCTGGCATTAGAATTCTCTTAGCTTATGGTTATAAGCTAGGAACATCCCTTCCATGTGGATATTATTTCCTGCCAAGTAGCACAGGTTGTCACCACTACCACACTGACCAGGGGATTCCCCCAAGTGTTCTCTGCATCCCTACATTTAAGTGGCTGACATTTGTGCGTTTTGGCTTTAAAATGATAAGAATTCCTACTGCAGGGTCTAGACCCCTTTTTGCTAAAATTTTGATTTCGCAAGATTTCTGTTGGGATGTCAGTCTTGTTCATCAGAGGAGGTCTGATGAGTCCAGAAATTCTTTGTATTTCATTGTTTTGGACGTGGATTTACTGCTCCCGGTGGACCAGCTGTCCAGTGTCTGTAATAAGGAAATGCACATTCTCTGGAATACAGTCCATCATAATTGTCTGGACATTTTAAATCAGAGACTGACTGTCCCCACCCAGGGAGAATTTAAGCTGTGGAACAGAATGGCCTCTTGAGGTCTATTCCAACTCTGTGTCTCCATGATCCTGATTTCTTCTCTGAAAAGCAGATCTTAATATTTTACCAGGTTCCATGCTTCTTTGGTTTTTCAGCTTTTGTATTTCAAGCATCTATTGATCATGCTGTACTTGCGATTCCTTTGTTCTTTACATCTTTATTGATGCAGAGCAGTGCCAGAAACTGCTTTTTAACAGTTATTCAATCCCTGATGCTCTTCATGTATCAGATTTGGGATTTAATTTCTTAGAACTACTGGGCTGGCTACACAATTAATTGCTACTTATTAATAAGCCATTAGGCTCACTTGACCAACCATCAACAGCTGAAGAAAAGCACGCCTCCCCCTCCTTGGCCCCTATCTCGTTCTCTTTTGATGTTGAAGCTGTTCTCCTGTGTAATGGGAGACTTGCTGGAGTGTTTGGGGGTCTCTGGCTCATTTAAAGTGACAGGAAATGTTATCTCCTGATAATAAACAGGTTTCTGTGCCCATCACTATGACCTTTACCCCTTCACCCATCAGAGGGATTCCAGGAGGCCACTGACACTTAACTCTGGGTAATCGCATGGCTATTAAGAAAGGAGGTGGTATGTTGTATTTGTGTGTACGTGTAAATATCCGGCCACTGGCAGCAGGAATCTGTGTTTAAGAGGAAGCTCAGCATATAGGGGAGCAGGGTGACTCTAGGAACAGAGAGATGTCAGTTTGAAATCCAGCTCCACCACTTACTAGGTTTGCAAGACCTTGGATAAGTTACTTCTCCTCTATACGCCTGTTTCTCCTTCTAAAAAATGGGGTCATAGTATACCAACCCATGGGGTCATAGGATACCAACCCAGCTTGATTGCTTCGAGACTTAAACATTCTGTAAGAATCAGCTATAATTGCTCTCTGTAGCCCACAGCTAGTTGACTTGTGTTCAGCGAGCGATCTGCATGGCTTAATGGGCAATAAATGGGCTTTAGAGTCACACAGACCTGGTATGATCCCCAACTGTGCCATTTCCTCTGTGGCTTGACTCTCTGATCCTTATTTTCCCTTCTGAGAGCTGGTGTGAGGAATCAAATGAGGTAATGAGTTGTGCATGGCATGCAGCAAGCCCTCATATCCACGGGTTTCCTGATTAAAGACCATCAGGGCCCTTTAGACCTCCCTCTCACAAG